CTCATGGGTTGTAACAGCTTTTTTTGCAGGTACACTCATGGGTTGTAACAGCTTTTTTTGCATGTACACTCATGGGTTGTAACAGCCTTTTTGCAGGTATACTCATGGGTTGTAACAGCTTTTTTTGCATGTACACTCATGGGTTGTAACAGCCTTTTTGCAGGTATACTCATGGGTTGTAAAAGCTATTTTTGCAGGTACAGTCATGGGTTTTAGCAGCTATTTTTGCAGGTACAGTCATGGGTTGTAACAGCTTTTTTTGCAGGTACACTCATGAGTTGTAAAAGCTATTTTTGCAGGTACACTCATGGGTTGTAACAACTTTTTTGCAGGTACCGGTACACTGATGGGTTGTAACAGCCTTTTTGCAGGTATACTCATGGGTTGTAACAGCCTTTTTTCCAGGCACACTCATGGGTTGTAAAAGCTATTTTTGCATGTACACTCATGGGTTATAAAAGCTATTTTTGCAGGTACACTCATGGGTTGTAACAGCTTTTTTTGCAGGTACACTCATGGGTTGTAACAGCTATTTTTGCAGGTACACTCATGGGTTGTAACAGCTTTTTTTGCATGTACACTCATGGGTTGTAACAGCTTTTTTTTGCATATAAAAAGGTGTCTGAGGGGATTTATTAGTAAAAGAACCACTGACAATAGGCAATAAAATCATTCAACCTGTGAAAACATGAAAGACATTCCACAAATCAATGCCATAAAATGTATAATCTGTTATAAATAAGTCATTGTTGGGCTTGATCGCTATAGTCTACACATCTCAAACTGTTTAATGGTGAGTTATTAAAGTATTAAGTGATCAAGGTAAAATAAAAGACATTTCTCTATACATGTACCTAAAAACACCAACCTAACAAAAGTCAATGCTCCTTACAAAGGCTTGGTTGCCCACAGTATACACAGTGCTATGTACTCTTATCATTTTCAAAAGCTCTTTCGTGAAATAATTATTTGACTACAATTTACATCAAATAATCCCAAGCTACTGACAATTTAATCATTTCTTGCTTCATTGTTCTAAGCACATGAAGTTACAGGATTGGAAATTAGTATTTAAGGAGCACCACGATTGAAAAATTTAAATACACTAAAGTTGAATTGGTGAATTACCTTCATTACGTCACCAACTGGAGTTAACTGGCAGTTGAGAATGCCGTTTTTTTTTTTAATGGACACAGTTTTTTGTATGTAAATCAATAAACAATAGTATGATAACTCTCCTTTTAATGCAATAAATTATTATTATCAATAACTGTAAACTTACCTGTTCATTATAGATTTCCAGCATACTATAGGAAACCTGTAATTGTTTGTTTTTATCTGTATTTTGATCTATTACTTTGAAGAGTTCATCACATGTTATGGGAACAATTCCTCGGTTTGGTCCATAGCCTATCATAGAATAGCTTTTACCAGAACCAGTCTGTCCATAGGCAAACAACGCAGCATTGTAACCTTGCCAAGCATTATCAAGCACACCCTTTCCAAGACTGTTGAATACTATGTTCTGTAAAAACATTTATTGTTGCTTGTTTATATATTTGCAAAATAAGAATGACACAATATGTGTAGCCACTTGATGATGACAAAATTAAATCTACTTGATAATACTCTTAATGATCAACATTTATTTTTTCACTGAAATGATTTCTAAATATGAAAATAGATTACAAAAACACACCAAAATGCTGCTTTTGGTTCGAAAAAATACCAGATAAAAGGCACAAAAATTCTTTACAGGTAATATGGAATTTTGTTCTTGTACAAAAAGAATATTAGAATTGATTACCTGATCTGCATATTTTGTATCCGTGGAAACAAAGACACCATTTTCCTCTTTAAAGCAGTCATGTGACCAGTATGAGTAATCAAAGGCAAATGTATGTGTTTTACCATTATCAGGGTTTGTTATAGTAGTTGCGTTTCCTGACATAGATATAACACATTTAGAATTGGCATTCTTTTCTCTCTGTAGAAATCAAAGATAAAAAGTTATTATAATACACAACACATCACAGACATTACATAAATGGTGGAATGCCATAGAATATACAAATACCAACATATACCGATGTATTTGAAGATATAAAAAATTACATTTCTAACTACAGATCAGTAAAAATTCCACCTGTGTTCTATATGATTGAAAAATTGTTTCTGTGAAAACAGCAGTTTGATGAAAAATTGATTTATTGTATAAAACAATATCTATTTAGTCCACGCCATGTTCTGTCAGACCACTGTCATTTCTTGAATGTACATGAAATGATTTTGTTCACAGTTGATGCAAAGACAAGTCATAATGAGAGTCATGCTCTTATGGCTCTTGGTCATGCTTTGACCAAAACAAATTTTTTATAAGCCACAACTTGGACTTTATCCTATTACAGTATACTGCAATCGATCCTAGCAGGGTTAGATAAGATTAATGTACAATATTACTACCGGTAGCTTTTGAGCAATGTATACCGGGGGTACTATAATTCATAAATTTTCATGCAATGATTTTGGTAGATTTCTAAGATTTCTTGTTGATTTTAGACCAGATAAAAGTAGTTTCACATTGACTACAGGTATTGATCTTAAGTTTTTGAAACTAAATATGAAAAACTAATGCAAATTTTGTTTGTCGATGTTTTTTTTCTCATACAAAGGGTAGTAAAAAGGCATTTGTTGTGACCCCAGTGTTGTGCTCGAATCCTCTATTAAAAGTGGACCGCTTATCAAGGCACAATTCAAGTGGTTTCAAGCATGTATACCACCTGTTGCCACTTATAAAAACTCTATTCAGTTACGGTTCAGTAATTAGAACTTTAATTTCCTACATCTATCATTTAAGAAACTTAGCATTTCAAATTTGTATCTTATATGTGTGTTATAGATCAGAAAGAGATATTGTAGAATGTCAAATGATTATGGTGTTGTAGTTTATGAATCTGAGCAAAGTTTTCAACAAACCAAGACAAGTGCAATTATCTCATAAACTCAGCACTGTGAGTAGCCATAAAGAAGGGAGGCTAAAGTGGGCTTACGGAGGTAAATAATAGTCCATGGTTAAGTCGTTGTCATGGTAACAGGGTGGGTATAAATATATATGCTTATGCTGTTGTCATGGTGAAGGGAGGGGTGCTATACTGTCTGCAGTCATAAAAGAATACAAACACAGTTTTCAATGACTCATTATACCATATATTCATTTATACAATGACAGAGACCATATTAGACAACAATTAAACTAGACATATTGCATACTTAAAGAAATAATTCCAGACTATTAAAATACAGAAGTCAATTTCATATTATTCTCAATCAATTCTGAAAGAGATATTATGTGTTAATAAATATGGCATAGCAATTAAGCAAGAGCCAATCATTAACTCTATGTAGCCCTGTAATATTGCCATTCATACAAGTGAATAGTAATTATACACTGTATATATAGGCAACATATATTTCTGACAAAGACAGTTAACATTAAGCCGTGTCATGCAAACAAGTCTGATTCAAATTTGTCAAAGATAAGATAAACTTTTTTAAGGTAGCGGGACTATTATTTGCATACTTGTTTTCATCTTCTAATTGTGACTAAATGACTACAAATAGACCCAAGAAAGTATATATTTTTTGAATCGCCAGACTTCAAGCTGTTCAAAGGTGTGTTTGTCATGCCCGTATCTGCATTCTACGATGCGTTACTTAATCAAAAGTGAAAAATTACTTTTTTTGTAAAAAAAATAATTACGCATTTATGCTGGTGATAAGAAGTTTTTTTTTCACTTTTCCTAGTTGATCAATAGTCTGGTAAATTGAATGTGTCTGGTCAGTTTTATTCAAGCAACGCGTTTTGAAAAGTACTGTCCTGAATTTTAATTTCTGTTTTAGTCGCATTGCCCCCAACTCAAACCACAACACATTGGTAAATAATCCATGAAATAGTTTGTCTGGACACATTCAAGTTCCTCTCATTGTCACCTTAAAGCTGTGAAAATTTGGTGTTAATTCGATGACAATAAGTATACGTTATTTTTTGTTAAAGACCTTGTATTTTGAAAAACATAAACTCCTAGAAAATGTCCATGACGTCACAGCAAAGATTTTCAAGCTTGTTTATCTGCACAAGCGATTTGTTTTCCCACCAAGGTCTGTTTTAACATGTGTAGGGGCATCCAAATGTGTAAGGCTATTAGAAACCAAAAAATAAAGGAATGGGATAGCTATAGTTCGATAAAATCGGCAGATGAAAACACCAAAATCAATATGCAAATGACTAATCTGTGAAATAAACAGGGGCAGAGACAAACCACTCAAATGTTTGGAAATGCTAATTGTGTGTCAGGAAGCTACTGATAACACATCCTAACATTGCTTTGTCTTGAGTTAATCTTTGAAACTTATAGGCACACAGATTAAACCTGTGTTGTTGATTTTGGAAAAACACTACTGAAGCTGCCTTGCTTCCCCTCAGAAAATCTACATTTTAACCAACTTACATGACATTCTAGGTTACGTTGACTTTATCAGATGAAAGTTTATATCATCATCAATAATCGTAAAATTTCATCATTACGACACATCGTTTTGATTGGTTAATGAAAGACATGACCTGTTATGTCAAAGGAAGTTGTTCCAGGTCAAATCGTGCTGAAAAACCTCATGGTGGAAAATTGTTTTGCGTCGAGAGTTTGTGTACGATCGAAAACATACCAAAACGAAGATAATGATAAATGCCTTCGTCCACTGTTTCCTCACAGACCCAACCCATTATTTCACCGTAAATTCAGACGGTATGTAAATCGTA